CCAGGGCACAGGTCCTGAAGCAGAGTCCCTCTGTCCCGGAGCTCCAGCCAGGCAGCCTGTGGCCAGCTCACGGGGATCCCGGCAGCGACAGCCAGCCGGGCAGCAGACAAGCTGCTTGACAGGCCCCCCCATGGCAGCTGGCAGGAAACGAGGGCAGAGAAGGAAACCCACAGGCCCAACTTCTGTAGGTGGCGAGGACCAGAGGCCCGGTGACGCTAACGGCCGGCAGCTGTGAGGTATCTGCTGGCTTCAGGCAGATCCTGGGCTGGGCTATTTTTAATCTAACGCACGCAGAAAACTGGTTTGGAAGCCGAAGCGGCCCCTCCTGCTCCCCCAGAAAGCTCGCTCTGCCCCAGCACCCCCACCAGGTTTGTGGCACTGACCCCTCCCCCGCAAAGAGGGGGAGCAAAGGCTCAGCTCCCAGCTCCTCTCCTGCGCTAGGGGCCAGCCAGCCTCAGGCACGTTCGCGGAAGCCCCAGAATGTCTCTTCCCCTGTGGGTCTCTTGGAAGAAGCAAGCCGACAACACATTCGTGTTTTGCTGTCACGGTGCTGTGAACTGTAGCCGGGCCGCAAAGCTGTCGCACGGCGACTCTCCTTGGTCGGAGGGCAGCAGAGGGCAGGAGAGCCCCCCGCCTCCCAGGCTGCATGTCTCAGGCTCTGGGCTGGGCTGGCCTTGGCCCTCCCAGATGCCGAAGCGCTTGGCCCAGGAGGGGTGGTGGTGGGGGGGGGGGGGGGGGGTGGAGGCCTGGAGCAGCTGCCCCCTTGTCCACCCTCCAACGCCTCCTAGATCGGAGAGGATGTGTGCTGGCAATGCCCAGGCAGTGGCAGGGAGGGGAGGACCACCCCCCGCTCTGCCACCCAGGTCCTGACACGTTGTGCCATGTCTGCGGCAGACAGAACAGGACAGCAGGGCACAGCCTCCTGCGTGGCCACAGAGCCACAGAGCGTGGCTGGCTGGAGGGGAGGAGGGCTGGGGTGGCCGTGTGTACCCGACGATGGCCGTGGCTGGGGCGGGCTGTCCGGACGGACCGGGAGGGCTCGCCCCTCCCGTGCAGGGTAGTGATGTGCTGGGCGGGACCTTGGGCCAACCGTCCACAGAAGAGGAGAGCTGGAGGGCTGGCGCCCTCCTGGTCCGCAAGAGACGCACAGAAACGCACCTCCCGGGCACCGTCGCCTTGCATCATAGCGAAAGGAGGCACATGTGCGCTCCACGCAAAGCGGGACCGGCATGGAACGCAGGTCCGCGTCTGACGCCTCTGTCTCTCCCCCGGCCCGTGGGACCAGGTCGTGCCCCTCCTCTCAGCTTCACGGGCGCCTCGGTCAGATCAACGGGCGGCTACTGCCATCAGCCCACAGCCCCTTGAACATTTACTTTAGACAGGCCGTGCCGTGACGCTGACCCGGGCCCACAGGGCCACACGTGTCAAACAACGTGGTGTCCCTTGACCGCTGGTGGGGGCACCGGACGGTCACTGCAGCACGTGGGGCTGGGGGCCAGCCACACCCGATCTCACTCATCAGCGGACAAGGGCAAGGGCTTTCCTAAACCCACACCCTGCTTTTCAAACTTAAGCATATAACAAGAAGGGAGGTGGAGCCTGAGCTGGGGAAACGGGGCAGTAAATACGAAGAGCGACAACAAAAATGTGGGTTTGGTGTAAGGGCGAATACGAGTATGGCCCTGCCGCGGACAGGGCAGCGGGGCCGCCGGACCCGAAGAAGAGATCCTCCCAGGCTCTGGGAGACAGCAGTCCCGACACAGGAGGCTCAGGATTCCCACAGGTGCACGGCGATCAAACCGAGCTCGAAAAGATCACGAAGACATAAGGAGACATGAGTTAGGAGATCGAGGGCGGGGAGGGAAGGAGAGCAGAGGACACAGAGGTTTGAACCCTTAAGGACTTTCATATTGGAGTCACCGATCACTGGAAGGTTGGGCTCCCTGTGTACGAAGTGTTCAAGGAAACAAGACGGGCAATCGTGGGGCGCCCGGGGGGCTCGGTCCGTTGCGCGTCCCATTCTTGATTTCAGCTCAGGTAATGATCTCAGGGTTGTGAGACTGAGTCCCGCATCAGGCTCGGCACTCACGGTGGAGCCTGCTTGAGATTCTCTCTCTCTCTCTCTCTCTCTCTCTCTCTCTCTCTCTCTTGCCCCTCCCCACTCTCGCTCTCCTTCTCCCTCTCCCTCTCTCTCTAAAAATAAAGAATAAAAAAGATGGAATTGCAAATATGACCAAGCAATAAAATACTCTACACATGCCCAGGAATGTTAGAGAAACCACCACCGCAACAAAGAGAACTGCTAGAAATTAAAAAAAAAAAAAAAAAAAAAATGTCATTGGTGGGGGGATAAAAAAACAGTGGTTCAGTTTAA